TGTGTTAAGTTTTGTTTAATAAACCCGGTCTTTCTTTTCCTGTTTTTTTTTTTTGGGGGGGGGGGAGATGGGTTAAAAAATGTGCTTTTATCAGAAATTAAAGTGATTTAATATGCTTGCTGTGCAGGCATCCATGGCCATCTTTCCCGGCGGGGGGGGTGGATTCTAAAAAAGTTATAGTCATTAATAATGAAGGTTGCTGAGTGTTTTGCTTTAACTTTTGAATGCAGGTTCAGGAAAGATGGGATTTTGTCCTGTAGGTCACTGAGCTGACTTTCCCAGGTGTGCACACTGCCTACATCTGACGTCCATGAGCCCGTCCGCACACGTGGGCTGCTCTGGGCTCTCAGGAGGCATCCTGGCCAGATTAGTCTCTTATCTTTTTTCTGATTGCTGAAGAACCTAACCGTAAAGTATCCCCCATCATAACTATAGTTATAAGGCTATGAGGCTTCTGGGTTACCTGGGTTTACCTGTTTGTTAGACCTGAATCATTAAAAGTAGGGGCGATTTTGGCCAGTCAGAAAGCATTGAAGATAATTACAATTTCACAACAGCTCCTGCCCTAAATCTAAGCTAATACTGTTTGCCGCCTGGCAACATATTGCCAGCCAAATGAGATTCTGTTACACTTCTTCTCGTTATTTATTGTTTGCGATTGTTTGCTCTCTCTTGTGATTCGGAGCTGTGACCGGCATGATGGCAGCCTAGCCTGGCTGAAATAGGTTTCCAACACTCAATGTTGTTCACACTTCGTAGCATAATGAAGTACCAATGTAGGGCAACTATATTATCTAAAGTATCGATGGGAGGGTTTTGGTTCAAGCATGTAGGGCCGTTTATTATTTGAATCATTGAGCTTAAGGCCTTCTTGGTTCATTGCCGAGCATTCATGCTTTACCATTGTGTTATGCTATTCAGTATTTTCAATAGCAAATGCGTATTTAATGTCTTGCTTCCCTCCCGTTTCAGCTACCATCTGAACTCCATACAGAGCACAACCCTGAGCTTCTACCCAAAGGCCCAGACAAGTCTGCCACTGTGCAGAGCGAAGGGCAGGCCAAGGTGAGGGTCAGGTGACCTGTGACGCAGAGGTCAGGTGACCTGTGATGTAGAGGTCAAGTGACCTGTGATGCAGAGTGGAGCATCGCCACTGCTTGAGAGCACACAGACTTCTGGTGGGACTTGGCATCTTAGCTGAGTGCCTCTTCAGGTCCCTGCTTGCTTCTATTTCCTTCTGAAACACCCTGATCTCATTAGCCGGTCCCATCTCAGGGTTCTGGGAGCCATTCATTGACAAATACAAGTATAACCAGTCGGCTAAATCCATCTCGTCGATGAGAAGGCAGCTGAGAGAGTTTTTGCTTTATCCCTCTTGCTCCAGAGTCCTCCGTTAAGTGCCACTAGTCTCCATTCTCCTCTTTAGACACATATCCAGTGTCAGGTTGACACGACCCCCCCCCCCCACCCCCGTTCTTAGGGTAACCTTTCATCTTATTATGCAGCACTTGTCTCCATCTCAGGAATTCGACTCTGGCGAGACTTCGGCCATTTGTACATTTGACAAAATTTAACCTCTGCGGGTCATTGATTCTTAAGGAATCTCCTCGAATTGTGCAGGATGAGCTATGATGGCGTGTCATGTTATATGATTTCATATACTAGCCATCTAAGCTTCTTATTATCATCATAAATCTTGCCTGGAGACTCGTTCGCTTACTTACTTTCATTAGTTTCCACACTTTATCTAAAAAATGAATTGGATCTGAAGTACTGTGGTATTTTCTTTAACATGGTGTGTTTGAGATTCATTAAAGCCACATTCAGGTGGGACAGATGTAGACGGGTATTGAGTACTAAATGGATATTTCCCTCACACAGGTCACTTTACTGTGACAGTTTCCAAATTATACAAAGGAAAGGGAAATGTCAATACAAATTGTATTCATTTTATGCTCCTTTCATCTGAACGTCTTTCCTGTTTCAGACCAATGGGGACTGCACACCGAACGGCGCAGCAGACACGCCAGGCCCCACTGCCTCGATGGAGGCACTTTCTCCGTTCTTTAAGAAGAAAGCACACATCCTTGAGGTCCTCCGTAGACTAGAGGAGACGGATCCATTGAAGTTCCATCCCTACCCAGGCCTTCCTGCCTATTATGACTTTAGCCAAGCCCTGATCCCCACAGAATCTGCCCTCGTCCCTGGTGTCGCCCCCAGCCATCAACACAAAGGACCCCAGTCACACTGTCGCCATTCCTGCTCGGACTCTGACATCCATGAGTATGCGAATGGCGACAGGACGCTACCTGAGGACCACGGCCTGGAGTACGAGGGCTGCCAGTCTTGTCTTATGCTCTCTCAGAAGAGCCTGGCAGGTGTCTTAAAGAGTAACCAAGGTCACGTATCTTCGCACCCAAGCAGACCAGATGACTTCAGTGGTGGCAGCTGGCCGGAGGTTCAGGGAGCCTCTGCACCGGCCACCGTGCTAACAAGTGACAACACAGACCCAGCAGCCGGGGCCGAGAAGCCAGATGATGTCCCACAACTCATAAGCACAAATTCCTATCTCTACTCAGGACTCAAGGACACCACTCATGCCGGTGTCGCTCATCAGGAGCCAAGCCTGGCCGCGACGTCGGCGGAGGCAAAGAGCGTTGGCCTCCATGGGGAGAGCTCCGAAGAGCAGCCCAGCTTTGCCCACACAGTGCCAAGGGAAGAGACGCAGAGTGAAGCCTCCCGTCCGGCCGAGAACATGAACCTTGAAAATTTTCACGACTTGAATGCAGCACAGGTTGTCGGAACAGAGCAGTGCTACTTTGAAGTGGCCGCAGAAACAAGTGTGAAGAATAGCTTGCTTACAAATACCTCAAACGCCCCAATTCCCAAGGTTCCTGACAGCTCCACGATTGAATATTGTGAGCAAGAATCTAGAGAACAGATTTGCAGTGAGCTGTATTTCTCTCCTAATGAGGCCTCCCGTTCCAAAAAGGTAGCGGCTGATTCTTACCTTCCACCCCCTTCACCTGAGAAGAACAGCATGGTGCAGCAGCCTCCTAATGAAAAAGCCAAGCTTGTGCTTAGTCCAACCTCCTTCAGCGAAGTCAAACCTTCACCCATCTCCTCCCCGTCTAGGCTGTTGAGGTTCCTGAAGATTCCGTCGATTGGTGAGCGGGCGCAAGCTGCCAATCCACTCCGCCTCAGCCCCCAGCTTACTCGCAGTTCCAAGATCCCCTGTAGAAACAACTATGAGGTCCACCATTCTCCCGTTCTGGCTCGCAAAGCCACCACCACTGAGAGGGAGAAGCAGCCGCAGTCATCCAAGGTTGACTCCTACCCATCTGCACATTCAGCTCCAACTTCCCCACCGAAGCCAGAAGATGACTGTTTGCCCATTGCCAGGGAGATCAATTTTAGTGGTGCGTCTGTGCCGAAAGCCAGTCACAGTGCCAAATCAGCACCGCTTTCTCAACCTCAAAGAGGCTTCCAGAAGGTTCCTCACTATGAAAATGTCTGTGATGTTCCTACTTCCTGTCACCTGGATTGCTCCTCCCAGTGTTTCGAGGGAACAAACATACCCAACTTTCTCCCTTATCCACAAAATGAAACTTGCATCAATAAGCAGCCCAAAATACAAGAGAAGAAGATTGTTAGCCCATCTTTCAAGCAGCACAACGTGTCAAGCACAGCTGAGCAACCCTGTGATTTCTCTCCCTCAGACCTAGAACCTCATACTGAGGGCACAGTCTGGTGCAACCTCCATGATCACCACAGCCTGTCAACCTCTTCTGCCTCCCAGAGAGCTCAGAGCAGCTGTAGCCATCCCAGCATATCTGAGAGACACGAAAAGGTCTCCGAAAGCTCCTCGAGGAGTTCGGAAGCTGTCGTACTGCAAGATGGGGCTCAAAGAGGTGATCCAACCTCCATTCCGAAGAAAACAGTTGCTGTGAAGCCACCAAGTGATTCCAGTCATCACCTATTTAAGGAACGCCTGGCAGCCCTTGGAAAGCTCAAGACCACGGAAGAACTGATAGTCACAACTCAGCCCACAGATAAGAAAGATACACAGTGTAATGCTGGTAAAGTCGTGTCCCCCAGCATGGGGCAGAAAAGTAAAACTGCAGAGAGGCACTGTGATCGAGGCGTACCGGAACACAAGCCCCCAAAACACACAGACTCACTCGACAGTAAGCCGTACCCTAAGCCTGGGGGCCACGCCACCAAGTCCCCTGCACCATGTCAGTCATATGAGCCAGGGAGTAAGTCCTTAACCACCAGCTCAGTAATACCTAAGGCCGAGCTGGAGACATTCGGATCCAAAATATATGTAGCAAAGGCAGAGGGTCCAAAGATAAAGGTGAACTTGCCTTCTTCAAGCCCCGACCCCCCCCAGGTGCTGCGTAACTACATGAAGTGTAGCTCTGCCCCGAATCCCCCTTACAGTAGCAAAACTGCTCCCAGCCCTCAGAACAGCCCCACCAAGGTCCCATCTAAATCGCCGTCCAAGCCTGCTCAGGCTGCCTCCAACCCAAGGCCGACTAAAACAAGCCAGGATGACCGTGTCTCTCAGAAGCCATCGCCGCGGTCAGAGGACAAGAGCAAGTTCACCGGCAGCAAAAAGAAGAGCCCGGCCTGTGTGGAGAGCGCTCCCCCTGGCCCGCTGAAGTCAGCAGAAGCCATGGATGACAGGAGACCCTTTGTCTCTGCTCCTCAGTCTGCTATTGAGCAGAAGGTGATGAAGGGCATAGAAGAGAACATGCTGAAGCTGCAGGAGCAGGACCGTGGTCACGCGGCCGAGGTCAAACAGAAGGCCTCCAATGGCATCGCCAGCTGGTTCGGCCTCAAGAAGAGCAAGCTACCAGCCCTCAGCCGTAAGCCTGAGATGTCCAAGCTTAAGATAGGCATGCCCTCTGCTGGCAAGGAGGCCAAAACGGCTGCAAAGAAGAAGCTGGAGGTTGAGAGTCTGAACATCTCAAAGCTGATGGAGAAGGCCGAGGATCTGCGGCGTGCTCTGGAAGAAGAGCGGGCTTACATGAACGGGGTAGCCCTGGATCGGCCTGGCAGAGGTCACTCCTGTGAGGTGGTGATGGATCAGTCCCAAGGCCAGCTGTCTGTAATGTACAGGGGAGTCTCCTCTGACAACTTTATGCAGCAGTTACTGAACCGGTGAGAATTTTTTTTTTTTTTACAGGCTTAATGTGTCAGGCATAATCAGGCACATAGTGAAGTAATGGGTTTGATCCCCCCCGAAATTTGTTGGCTACCAATGAGAGAAGCATCCAGTTATGGGAAGCATGAATTCGAACCCCCTCGAAATGGGAGGGGACCCAACCCCCCCAGAAATTAAAAAATTTATTTCTGGCTATGGGCCGTGATCTCATTACTTTTATTAATCAACTTGCTTACATTCTTTGTTTCTGATATAGTGTGGATGAGAAGGACCCAGGCAGTTTTGGAATCACCTCCCGGCGCCTTTCCTTTGACTCCAAAAAGTCGAGGCCTATTTTCAGCCATCAGAGAAGTGACATCAGTCATACTAAGAGCAGTGGAGAAATTGAAAAGGTATGACAGACTATATAGAGCGTAAGGATTGGCAGCTTAAGTGACAGCTATCACATATCAGGGTTTATTTTATTTTTCCTAGGGCTCAGACCTGATCAGTAAAGATGTCCAATCAGATGAGATTCTGGCAGAATCCATAAATTCTCAACACTTCACAGGTAAGAAGGGGATTTAGTTTTTCTTAATATATAGGAGTTTCCTTTCGACTTTGTAATAAATCGACACTGGTGAAGTGCCACATCCTTTTTGAAGAAGAGGGTTGACTTTGTTCAGGCTCAAGGCTGAGCATTCTACCTCATTCTGTTAAAAATGTTTCAGCAACATTTTAAAGTTTAATTTCCGTAAGCTTCCCTGATATCTTACTGTAATCATGATTGCAGAATGAATCTTGAACTGGGAGCAGATTGTTTTCTACTGACTTTTCTTTTACTTCTTTGAGCTGTTTTGATGCCATACATATGTGCCTGTTTCATTTTACTATATAAACTGCTATCATTTGTGATTCTGTTAATGCTTTTGTTGAGTTTTCAAGCTACCTGACTGGCATGTGTTTGAACCAGCGTGTTTATGCGACAGCCTGTGCGACATATGAATGTAACATACTTGAAACGGAAGCAGCCTGTGACACTTTCTTAAAAGTACAAAATAACTGTTCTTTAATAATATATATTTAAGAGGACTAAACATAGCAGTTTCTCTAGAAGACTGCGCAGTAAAACCTCTTCTGTTTGGTCATAGGTACACATGTCCTGGAGTTCCCATGTAATTAATGTTATATATTTTTTTATTACCTTGAATTTTTTATATTGAATAAAATCATTAGCAGAAAATGTTTTTTTTTTCTCTCAGTCAAAATTGATCCTAAAATGGGTGAGCGTGCAGTTGCATGAAGTATTTATTTAAATAATTAAGGTCAGACTTTCGCTGACAGTACAGTAGGTGGGCTGAATGGTGCCATGAATCCTGGGAAGGAGGACGAAGCGGGTTGTGTGACAGGTGGCTTCAGGCGATGCAGGAAAGTGAGGAAGAGAGAAGGGAACTGTACAGTTACAGTGGCATTCCTGCACTGGGCCAGTGCTGAAACACAAGCCTCTAGCTGCAAACCAGGTTAAAAAACAGAAATATCCTAGATCCTTCACATAATTCCTAAATTAACTGGATCATTCTCGCATGAAAGGGGGTTTTCTCCACCACCCTTCCACCCTCCCCTGAGCTGAAAAGCACCAAATGATCCCTGTCCTGTGCTGTTATTTATTTGCTTGTACTTGCTGTTCAGAGCTGAGTGACATGCCTAGGACCAGAAGTAGGTCTTTTACAGCTTAATTCTCCCTGCTTGAAGTTGCGATTACGGAAGGCAGCATGATTGACTATCTGTATGTGTTGCTGTGTGGGCCCACACCTTTGGGCTTTCTCGGTAAAACGTCCCCCACCTGTGTCCCCTCTCTAAGGTTCCGGGTCCTCCATGCGAACCCTTGACAGCGGCATCGGTACCTTCCCTTTGCCGGACTACGTCAGCGGCGCGGCTTTGAAAAGTGCCCCCAAGGCCAAGTCCCAGGGAGAGCAGGAGATCTTTGGTCCCCAAGGGAAACTTGGACCCGTGACGAAGGTTCCCCGCAAGGCTCACACACTGGAAAGGGAGCTGTCGTCCCTGGAGGAGGTTGATCCGTGTAGCTTGTACAGCTCTGCGCTGGAAGGAAAGAGCTCAGTAGTGCATCTCTCCGGCACAATCCATGAAGGTGTGTACAACAAAAAAAAAAAACCCAATCCTTTACGCTGTTTGTACCCGATGATGGAAAATTAATTGCTCTGTGAAAGCCATTGGGCCAAGGAGCAGACGAGAAACTCCTAAAACTGATTAAACGTGGGTGTTATGAATTTAAAATGTCCTTCTTTCTGAGAATTTGCCAGTTTCTCGCCATAGCACAACTGGGCCAAACCAGCTAGTGATTCTTTGTTTCTTGACAGATGCTGATGACTATGGGGCAGATGTACAGTCTCCGCCCATGAAGAACTGGACTGTGCCCAACATGAAGGCTCCTGCGGTGCCAGCAGAGGTCTACCTGGGCGTCAAGGAGGAGATGGACCCAGCGGGGCAGGCCCCCTTCCGGAGGGTGAGTTCACAGGCGCTTTCATCAAACGCTGTTTTCCATTCACCTTGCTGTTCTGCTGCGGTCCCATCCTCCTCTCACATTCTTCATATATTCCACTTGGTAAAGTCTAAACTATTTTTTCCCAACCCAATCAGCAGTCCGTAAAGACCAATGAAATGAAACACAAGATCAATGAATGTGAATAAATAATAAAATTCCAGAAGTGATCAAATGGATGGAGGCCTAATTAGTATAGCATATTACAAAATAATTAACAGATAACAACAGCAATTAATAATAATATCAGCACAAGGCACAAGCCAACTAAGGGGCTGCTTAGGGCCCGATGGCCACCAGGGGGCCCCCCATCTCAGGAGCAGGGAGGGAGCAGAAATCTAGAGTGTCTGGGAGGGAGCAGAAACAGTGCACTGTCTGGGGGTCCTTGAGGACTATGCTGGGGAAATACTTGTCTAAACTTTTTTGCATTAGACAAAACCAGGGGTTGCAGCCCTGGGAAGCGAGGGAGGTTATGAATGCAGGTCCTGGGCACTCGCACACACTGCCTCACACTCAGGGCTCATTAGAGCCAACACACAGTCAGAAATGGCAACTTGAACCCACGGACCCTGGACGTGTCACTGCACATTCTGGGGCGTCTCGCAAAAACCGAACTGCTTCTGTGTTTGCTGCGGACAGACTTGCTCCTGCATGCTTGTGTCACAGAAAAGGGCCAAGGGCTCAATGGAGAGCTGTGACTGGGGCCAAACCAGTATCTGAGCACTGCAGTGACATGGCCAAGATGGCAGCTTGGGGTTTTTCTGACTATAAATGAGAGCGATAAACATGCCTCTCTACTTAGTGCAGGTTGCTGTGGAAACTGCAAGTGAGATTGACCAAAGCAAGAAGGAATCATGAATTTCTGATTGCCTGCCTGTCTGTCTCTCTCTCTCTTTGAATGGACTCCATTATCAGTCGGTGGTGGAAATACTCCATAAATTGTAGCTTTTAAAAAATATTTTGAAGTGGGTCTTTCAAAGCCTCCTTATCTTACCGTTTTTTTTTTAACCTTAAGTTCTTTGCATACTAGCAAATATTTCACAGGCTTTTATTTTTTGCCTTTTCAAATTGGATTCGCCCACTCCCCCTCCCCCCACAAACTGAAAAGAGAATTCTTAACGGGAGCTGCTATTGTCTTCACATGGTTTTGTGTAGATGGACTTTAAACGGAAAAGCTTCAGCCTCCATGTTTCCCTGCAGTTTTCACTCCACCAGCATCAGAGACATCCTCTAGCGGGAGGGAGACGGATGTTCCACATGATTCTATTTCCAGTTCTGGGGTGTAATCGAAACCCAGCGCTTGTAAAGCGTGCCCCAGTAAGGGGCACTGGGATGGGCCTTCCTGGTGCCATGATGAGGCCAGGCGCGAACACATGCTGTCCATCTCGTGTGTCCATGGCTGGTCCAACTCTTTTCGGGGCCTTAAGTAAAATGTGATTAACCTATTTGTCATTTGTAATCTTCCTTCCCATTCTGACAGGGTGATGAGATGGGGGGGGGGGGGCCTGGGGGCCACCGGACCCCAAATAGCTGCTTAATTGGTCCTGGTGGCAACTGTATGTTGTTTCACTGACTCCTCAGATATGACTGGTTCATGGTTGCTTTCTGATGCTCCTGTTTTCACAGGCCATGAAGGCCTGCACTCCGACGCCGCGTGACAGCGACCCCGCCAGCTTGCCGCTGCCCCCTCCGGTTTGTCTGGCCCGGCGTGGCAAAAGCCAGACCCCTATCGCCGCAGAGATGAGCAAAGATGGTGGGCTGGAGCTGATCAAAGAGCAGCCAGATGACATCCTGTCCCCCAGCCGGCCACAGACCCTGGAGACTCCGGAATCGCTGAGCGACTCTCTGTATGACAGCCTGTCCTCCTGCGGCAGTCAGGGATGAGGGCAGGGTCTCAGGCTCGTGTAGGTGGGCATCCGGGAAACCGCCGTTCAGCGGGCCGCTGCTCAAGCGCCCAGAGCAGGCAGTGCAGTCTTGTGACGTCAGCCCCCCGCCCCAACACCCGCCGCTGCCCGTTTCTCAGAGTCTGGCTGCTGGGGACAGACCCCCCCCCCTCCCCACGCTTTCTCAAAATGACACTCACAATGAGACTTTCTGAAGACGGACAAACTGGCCGGGCTAAAATCCCAGCCAGAGGAAGCAGACGGTCACCAGAACTGTTTATACAGTGTGTTCTCTCACGCACACGCACACGCACACACACACACATTCACTTTACAGCTTCATCTAGGCATGACTGGCATCCAGACACACTACTTTCAGAGCAGCCTGTCCTGGAAGTGTGCTACCATTTAGCTGCAGGAGACGCAAATGCCTGCACTCCTCTCTGCCACCAGAGAGCCATTTATCTGAGTATTTCGTTCACAATGGAGTCGCCTCAGGAAAGTGGGAGATCTCATCGAATTATTTACATCTGCATTGATGCGCAGATTTCAATACAATTACCCATAAAGCATTGGGCAGCCTATAAAAGATTGAAGCCAATACTGCCAATGTGTTTAAAGCATTCTTTTTTATGATGATGATTATTATTATTATTATTGTGTTGTTGTTGTTGTTGTTATTTGTTATTGTTTATTTTGTAACATGTTATACAAATCAGGCTTCCATCCATTTTATCACTTCTGGAATTTGTTTTGAAATGTGAATGTTACTTGTGTTTTTATTTTGTTGATCTTTATTTTTTAACTTAAATAATAATAATCTTGGTGCAGAGACTCTAACTCTGTTTTCTCCAAAATAAAGAGGTCATTGTCAGGAGAGCTTTGTGTGTTTCCTGTGTTAAATTAAGCTTGGGACTTAAAAGACGCACTGGTGACAGGTGACTGAAAGGTACATTTTGGTTGTGAAATCCATCTTCACTGCCATTGTTTTTCTCCCCTGGGGGGTGGGGAGGCTTGAAAATCTTTCCAAGCTGCTCTGTGGTTGTGCCACAAGGTTATGGACTCCTGGTTGAAAACCAGTGACCTTGTGTAGCCTCTCCGGAACAAGCTGGCTGAGCACCGGATGCTGAACGGAGTGGCTCCTTGCGGTTTTTGATTGGTCAGCAGCATAAGAAGCCTAACCTGTTGCTTTCACTCAGTGTGGTATTCCTGCTATTTCCAAAGGTAATTCTTACATATGCCCTGCAATTTCATTTAATAATGTTCCCTGTTGCCTTTTAAGTCTCGTCACAATGGAGGAGACTGAGGCAAGACCTCTGGTTCCTCCAATTTTAAGACTAAAACCACCAGGCACTTCATATGCCGTTCTTTGTATGAAAGGCCTCCATTTGTGTGACTAATCAGGGATGAATGGATTTGAATGCAGGGAAACGAGGTCCGAATTCTACAGCATGGATGCACGAGGTTCACCTTATTTAATAATATATGCTAAAGAATCTCCCCCTTGCATTTCCAGTGGAATATCTCTTTTCAGTCTTGTGCAAAGAGTCACCTCTTTCTTAAATGTGTTTTCTTATGTTCTCCTCACTGCGTGAAGGTATTTCTCTGATTTGTTTGGCGGCTCAGTTGTTGGACTAGCAGCTCACTTCCCTTGCATCATGACTGAATGGATTGACCGCTTGGGCTAGATGAACATTAATGACAGATGAAATTTCCTGTGTAGTAGAAATAATGTGTTACGTTCTCCTCATGTATAATATTCGCATAGTGCCTAAAGAATCCAGTATATCTTCTGCCACCAAAATATTGCCATTAACACACACTATATGGACAAAAACATTGAAGCACCTCTTAATCATTGATTTCAGGTGTTTCATTACAACTAAATGCCACAGGTGTATAAAATCAAGCACCTAGCCATGCAGTCAGGTTTACAAACTTTTGTGAAAGAATGGGTCATTCTGAAGAGCTCAGTGAATTAAAGTGTGGTACTGTCATAGGATAATATGTCAGT